ATCGCAAAGATCTGAGGGACACTGTAACTACGCCTGACGCCAAGAAACGTTAGTTGACAAGACTCATGTACCTGTCATTTCACCAGCAATCTTACCCATTAATACCGAAACGCGGTAATAGTCACATTACTGCTTGGCGGCAGAAATAGGTAAGGTGGCAGTACTTCCCTGGACGAACTCTTTTACAAGGAGCTCTACAGCTGCTACTAAGTTTGTGTGCAGCTTGTTACATTTGGGTTATGCTAAAATTGAGTGAGATTAACAAAAATATCAAATATACCAGTGACGATGAGGACAAAATAATTTATGAAACTAAAATAGGTTTACTTGCTTTTAGTTTCAATGTCACCTCTAAGGGCGTACTTAGCGGTCACACTGAAATGGTAGTCATAAAAGTAAATGTCGTATTGCTACTATGTGCAATAAACTATGTATGTTTTAATATTTATTTTTATTGAATATAATTTAATTTTTGTGAAATTACTCCACTATTATTTTTATAATTATGAAATACAAAGATCGAATATAATTTTTTTTTATAATGCCAAGTGTCGGGACGAACAAGTCGTGGATCTGGTGGTAAGCGACACGCCTGTCCATTACAATTGCTGTGCCACTTAGAGCTTTAAAACGCGAAGATCGGAGGGGCACTGCCACTGCGTCTGTCATCCTGAGACTTAAGTTGACAATTCCCATGTGCCTGTACTTTCACCAGCATCCCTACTCTTCAAAACCCGAACGTAGTATCGACCACATTAATGCTTGGCGGCAGGAATAGGTAAGGTGGCAGTACTTCCCTGAATGAACTCTTTCACAAGGACCTCTACTGCTACTAAAATGCATCTGTGCCAAACCAGGGCGATCACTCTATCAACTGAGCTACAGATCGAGCAGACCTTACGAATTTCTAATAATTTGTACAGATCTTGTATCAGGTTTTTTCGGCTTATATCGCCGTGAGCGACACCTGTCAGGAATCTATGAGACTTTCCGCTCAGCCAGTACCCTTTCAACTACCAGAGACGTGAGATGTCGCTGTATTAATTGTAATTTTGATTTTTTAATTAAATACCATAATGATATCATTGACCTAAGGTCAATGAATGATATTAATTTTATTTTTTGTCAAATTACTCCATTGTTCCTGGCTGAGTGAAGAAATAGATTTCTCTAAGATGGCGCTACGGAAAAAACCGTTAGAAAACCAAAACAAAGTTCTGCAACAAGAACATAGAAAAATTCGTAAAGTCCGTTGGTTCGTTCCGTTGGCATAGCGTCTGCAACGGTTTGCTAGAAGACATTGGTTCGAATCCAGCCGGATCGAAGGATTTTTTTCTAACTGTTCTTTTCTTTGTATTAGTAATTATTATAACAAACTGGTGGAGGAATTTCACAAAAAGTAATTGAATCATGGTGAAACACCCTGACATTCAATAAATTTAATTACAATTAGGATAAAACCGGGGCAGACCGCCATAGTTTTTTCTAAACGCTGTCGAAATAAAATTTTAGATATTACATTGCAAATCTTTATTTCTTATTAAACTTTGAACAATTAACTAATAATTACTTAACAGAAAATAGAACAAATTGTCTTGAGACCAACCTTAAAATTAGTTTAAAAATAAATTACGATTGGCCATCTCTTCCAAGGTATCCGGGTGAGAGGACCATAGCACTATGGGTATGGCCAGTAATTATTTCTAGACTTAAATATTTCTTTTACTTGGTGTTTAGTTTTTTTATGTCTTCTTTTTTCTTCATGTCGTCAAATTCTTAGTTTTCTTGAACCCAAAAGTGGCACACGACGCATTGAAGTCAGTCTTCGATGAGACGGGTTTCATAGCAGCAGCAGCTTTAATAGCTACAAATTCTTGGGTTTTCGCGATTGTTATATACATATGAAATGAAACTATTTTTCCGGATTTAAATCGCGTATATTTGTTTTTCAAACAAACCAAAGTTTCGGGCCCCTTACAAGTAAGTATTGGGAGATTTCCTAAGCATTAATAGCTGCTTTTAATGATTCTTCAGTGCAATTCCCTCTCATTGCGTCTACCTTTCTTTTGCATTTAGTATACATCTAAAACAAGTCCGAAAACAAATAAATTATTTTATTAATATTTTAGACCTTTGTGTGATCGGTATAGGTTGGTCACATGGCCATCTTACACCGATTTTGATTGGGCATCTGTCCTAATATTCCGGGAGAGGTGGCCACATATAAAATTTAAACAAGAACAAACATAACACGTAAAATTTTGAGCTTATAACAAAGCATTGGATGTGGACTAAGCGATAAATATAAAAATAATCCATATTTTGAAAAAATAACTTCATTAGTAAAGTAGTGTAAAACATGAACCCTCTAAAAAATTTTATCATTAGTCAAGACAATTAACAAGGTTTTTACTTACTTTCTCTTTTTTTTTTGCTCAGCATATTCGCCCTACTTAGACTTGCACTTAGACACGATACGATGCGAACTGAGCAATAACTATCACCATCTTATTAGCGGATCATTGAAATATTGCGATTGACCTTTTGCCCCCTATGGCCATTTAACTCGGTTTTACCCTAATCCATTAGTTTGTTATACTTTTGTTTATACAAAGATCGACACATGAACACAAAGAAAAATTCCTTCAATCAGACTGGACTCCGCAACTTCGTCTGAAACCTGGGCCATTATGTATTTTTCATCGATATATTTATCTTTGTATAAAACTTTTGAGCCGTAATGCGAAAGTGAAAGCGATTGGTAGTACCAATTCTAGGAAAGCAATTTTACAGTAGGAAATTTCGCATTACGGCTCAAAAGTTTTATACAAATATGAATTATACCGATGAACGTGCTGGAATACATTTAAACTGCAAAAATGAAAACGTCAGAAAGTTTATTTCAAAATACCACAAAATCGAGCGCATTATCCTTTAGCAGGCATTGTTTTAATAATGGAGCTGTGGCGAATCGAATAATGCTAGGTTTACATTAGCCCTTGGAAGGTAAACTAGTTTACTAATTATGGATTAAGATTGTTGCTTGGTGTTTTAAAGACAGGCAGATAAGTTAGTCTGCTTCCAATAAGTATTTTACATAAAGATGTTTTTTTTTGTCCGATTAGTTATTGATTTGCTGATGTTTAGACATTCTTTGTAATCTGTTCAGACACTTCTTTTCATTGTCAATAGTTTACAGGTCACGGGTTGACTCGTAACCATGTGGCGTGTAATCGTTCTAAAATATCGGAAAAATAAAAAGAACTCATACCGTGGTAAGAACCTGTAATTAATAATAATTGTTTAGTGAATAACCACGAAAGCGAAATCAATATTGTAAACCGGTACGAGTCGGAATTATCAGTGAACCGGTGACCATGAAGCGTGTAACCGTTCTGAAACATCGGGAAAATAAAAGAAACTCATACTGTGGTAAGAACCTGTAGTTAGTGATAATTATTTAGTGAACAACTACGAGAACCTTAAAATCTATATTGTAAAATGGTATTAGTCGAAATTATCAGTCAACCCGTGACCATGGAGCGTGTAACCGATCTGAAATATCGGGAAAATAAAAATTGCTCATACCGTGGTAATAAATCTCTAATTTGTGAATAACCACGAAAGCCTTAAAATCGACATAATATTTCATTTCATGAGAAATTTCATATCGAATAATATTATGTCCTAACTAACCTTACCTACCACAGACTACCGGGAATTTACTAGTTTGAGTCCAGGTAATTGGTGCATAATTTACCATGGTACGTAGTATTTATACCAGGTATTGTACATAATTTGAACCACCTTGCATTTTCAACATTAAATGCCTTAAATTTGAACAATTTTTGTTTGACTAAAAACTATTTGCAGCAATTGTAATATTAACTTTATTCAATATAACGATGTCTTACTACCATGATTTTTTTTTATTTATTTGCAAATCAACAGAATTACATATAATGCATAAGCATTACTTCTAGTATAAACTAGAGGTTAGATTCTGCATTGTTCTTATATATATTCCAGTTACAGGTAAGCTTTACTCAACCATTTGGTTGATGTTTTAGAAAGTTATAAAAACTATAAATATTTATAATTTTGGAACATAATAATTGAAATACATTTATGAAAATTAAATTAAATTTAAATAAATAATTAAATTAAAAATGAAATATAATAATATTAACTGCAATAACATTTCATTATTTCTTAGAGCAAAAGTGTAAACCAATCAATATGGTTAGTTATAAAAAAACATAAATCCAAACTTGATGATCCAAACATGACTTTTTGTGGGTATGAAATTGAAGGATTCGATTAGGATGAAACTTTACGACGAAAGTGGAAGGGCGTGTCATGATGGATATCTATGTCACTACTTTTTTTACACAGGACATTGTACTCGTTGTATATTTTAGTGATTAGTGCATTACAACCTTTATTTGTGCGGCAAATACGAAGTTGATTGCTGTCAAAATTTCGCTACAAATAGTGGTTTCACGAAGTATTTTATACAGGACCATCAGATCCAGGAGCAGTCTACGACTGCGAAGAGAAGTCATACCAAAATAGCGAAGACGTTGGTCGTAGTGTTGCCGATGTGAAATGTTGGGAGATATAAAATTATTATTTTTATGTTATTTCGATATTCAATTATGTTTGTGAAGTTATTACAGAAACACTTTCATAGATTTCTCACAGATGGCGCTATGGCAAAAAATCGATAACAACCAAAAACAAAGACCAGCAACAAGCACTATAAAAAATCGTATCGTCAGCTGGTTCGTTCCGAAGCTCAGATGGGAATGTTGAAAATTTGAATTTGTAAAACCGGAGAGCACTTTTTCGTCGACAATAACAATGTTTTTGTATTATTATAGCCCTTTAAGAATAAAAATGCAAGTGGTTAGTATTATGTGTCCGGAAATGTGCATTTGTTTATTATTAAGCGAAATTGTAGTTCAAAGGTTCTGCACTAAAAGATGTAATTATCTTACCTTGGGAATATCAGCAGGCCCATAACCATTCTCTCTCGGAGGAAGTTTCGGAGGTTTGTCCCCTCTCCTCTGTCCCATTTGCATCATAAGCTGTTCCCTGGTCGCCGCCACCACTCCATGTCCATTGTGTCCATAGCCTCCCGACGAGCCGCTGGAACCTGAACCGTTGGCATTGGAACTGGCAATGCTGTAAGGGTCCTCGTCCGGGATTGGAATGCGAGGTCTATTCTTGATGTCCATTGGTCTTTGGACTGTGGAAGAGAGAAAGAACATTTTTAGTAACGAGGAACATGTTCATAATATGACATTACCAAATGAAGAAATTCAAAGTCCATTTTAAAGACTCAAATTCGGGTCAAGCCTTCATGGCTACAAGAAATAATAAAATCAAATAAAATAGGCTTTATTTGACATGCATAAATTTCAAACAAAACAACAAAAAAATAAAAATAAATTCAATTAAAATAAAATAAAAAACAAAAAAGAAGCACAAAAAAAATAAAAAAATAAAAGCATCTGAAAAGGGCTCATGACTCAACCTCTGAGGACTATGCTACTTACATAGCCCTCGCTGTTATTCTGTCATGGCCTGCCATCATGTGGAACACCACAATTCAAATAATAATATAATTTATGTTACAGACAAAGCGACAAAGATAAAGCGACATCTCTTGTCAGCCGCTAGTAGCTCTAAAGGTACCTAGCTGAGTGAAGGAAAACTTACTTAGGTTTACCATAGATGGTGCTACGGCTAAAAAGCCATTAAATAAAAAATATCGGTAACAAGAACATATAGAAATTCATGAGGTCTGCTGATTTGCTGCTGTTTGTTCGATCTTTGTATCAATAAAAATAATTTAGTTGTTGAATGGTGTTACAGATAACGACTTTAGATAAATAATTTTGGAGATTTTTTTGGTTGCATTAATGAATTCAACAAAGGCATTGAAATGTCAGTCCATCGGATCTCCTTCAAAAGCTCAAAGCTATCGAATCTTCCTGACCTTGTCATTCACGTTGTTTATTTTTACAATACCCAGTCATAATGACATCGTGTAATGAAGCCAGCTATACAACCTTTACCCGGCTAATAGCTGAAGGTGTGTAGAGTCGTGAAGAGGAGTGATTGCACCGATCAGAGCATCACGACACAATGTCGTCTTGCGCAAACGCACGCTAAATGTTCACAATTGTGTTCAAAACGATTATTAGGTTGGGATCATGCGTTGCAAATTCAAATTGTAGTTTGAAGCCCTTTTATTGAGAATTGAGTGGGATAAACTTTGAACTCGTTAACAAAGAGTGATGTTGCAGTTTGTGATTTACTTCGTGATTGTAGGTCATGATTTATATTTGGAAATTGCTTTTTGTGAGTCTGGGAAGGTCAAAAAAGTTTTTAGGCACGCTTTCTCAGATCAACAATAAGTTCTCTCTCCAGAAGCTTTACGCTATTATAGGATGCCTTTGTTGGAAAAATATAACAGTATTAAAACTAAATTCAGAATGTATGCAACAAATAGCTACGGGAGGCTTGTAAAAACGTCTTCAGAAGCTTTTACACCTTTTTATTTACAACAAAGAAATAGAACACACGTGTCTTCCATTTAATTTATAATAACAAAAACTACCGACTCAATTATCAACTTCTTAAAGTACATCAAATAAGATGTATACTACAAAAGGGTAATATCGATTATGTTCAGTACATTGACCTAAATGTTTACTTCAAATTACATTGGATGATTGAGCGGAAAGCATTCTAAGTGCAATAAGCTAGCAATTGGATTATCCTTCTATTCAACTAATATAATGTGTTATTAAAGTTCATGGTGGAGGCGTTACCGATGAGGTAGGGAATGTTGGGAAATCATACGTAGTAAAGGGAGTCTCGAAATTGAAAGACAAAGGGACCAAAAGAACACAGAATTAGCTTTTAGCGTTCAAATTGTGCATTGAATGTAAGCTTTAATGATGTGGGACAATATAGTACAACATAGCAAATACAAAAGGTAAGTGTTGACTATTTACAAAATTACGTAATAATTACATGATATTATAGAATTACATTTAATTACGTTAATGCATCAATAAATTACGTAGGCACAATCTGGTAATTGCATTGGGCCAGCCATTTGTACCATTAGTAATAATTGCCAGGAAGTTCGTATCAATTAGACCAAAATTAAAGTTTAAAGTTATTTTAATGTAAACAAACAATATTAATAAATCATGTTCGATGACGCACTATCCTTTTGAAATTATCTTTCATTTGCATTATCTGAAAGATATAGAAAGGCAAAAGAAAAGGCAAAAGGAAAGAACGGATCTTGCGGCAGACTACCTTGTCGTTAAAGCAAACACGTAACTGTTCCCAAGAGAAGCTGAAAAGTGATACATTTACACACGGAAACAGTTACATATTGCTACAAAAAGTTCTCAGGGACACGACCATCAGCTTTTTGATGAATTGATTATTTTGGTTATTCACATTATCAAGAACTAATGCTACCCAACCAACACAATTTTCGTATTCCAAACCAAATTCCCGTTATAACAAGGTCCAAGAAGTATAGATTCCAGACTATGATAAAGCGAACAAGACGTTACATTTCGCACATATCTAGCTTGTGGAACTACCTGAGACGGCGTGTTGCAACGGGATTAGAATCCAGATTAGTGCAAGCGCAGACCTGCCTGCTAATTTACTAGACGGAGATGACGCTATGTTTAGTCTTGATGTAAGAAAAAAAATAATTATGCTATGGCAATATCTTAGAATACGTTGTAGATAATAATATTATCTATCACTAAAAAAAACTGTTAACGAGAATAATTTACCGTTCTACAGTAATACGATACATTTAATTATAACTAGTGATAATTAAGTAGTCCATAACTACAAAAGTGTTAAGATCTATGAAAATTGCACTACTGTGTACATACTAAATACAATATAGGGTATACATATATGGCGACCTTGAGAGAGTCCCTGGTGAACTAAACACTGTAAAACATTAAGTCAATGTCTTTTGAATAGCTACGTGTAAAAATTACTAAAACGAAATAAATTCCTTAATCTCCTTAGCCAGCTTAGATGACCGACACGTATGATTTTTAAATTTAGTACAAAATCATGACAGCATCGTCCCTGCTCTAATTTAGAGTGCGATTTGTGCAATGATCGCTTTCGATTTCAGCTTCCTATTGTCGGTCGCGAGCTGTTTTGCATAACATTGGTCACGATTTTGTCTACTCAACTCTTAATGTTTCTATCGCTTTCCAGTGCTGGACTTGGGTCGAATAAGTTGTAGTTCTTAAAAAAATTAGCTCTGTGGAAATCTGATTTTAGTTTCGACATCCGTTAGAAATACGATAACACGAACATTAACAGACTCAAGACCAATGGCCTTATTTGCTTGCAAAGGATAGATTTTGTAGAACATAAAAAACTGACTGCAACTGCTTTACAATTATTGCCTTTAATTACATGTATATAACCCAAAAAAACCAATACAATGGACTAACTGCAGCGCTGTATCTAGTTACCATTTCAAAGTGAATTCAGCAATGTGTTATAGGCAAATGGTGCCATTCTTCGGTGATCCAGTTATGCCATAGTCAGTCACGAATGCGTTCGACCTTCATGATGAAATCGAAATTTGACGCTCTGCAGCTCATGTGAACGAACAATACAGATACAAAGATTGCTTTGATCTGTATTAGAAAAATAAAAGTTGCTTAGTTAGATATAGACGATGTTATCGTTAACGCAAATGCATTAAGAGAAGTGAATAACATACTATATATATAGCTCTTACACACAAATATATGAAGTGTAAGAGCTATTATGTGATTTAGATCGAATATTTTTCAATAGAAATAATAACGCAATCACTTAAATTAAGGTTCAGTGTGAGGTACGTAAGTAGCCAGGAGTAAAAGACATATATCACGAAGAATATGTTCGCTGACACGGCCTCTGACCTAAACGACTATCTAACAAAACTCTCGAGTCCCTTAGTATCACGACTTCCATGGAACATTAATTATTACCCAATAGATTTAAGTTCCTATGCCGATAAATACAGGTAGACCGCTAAACGAGAAACTTGAAGACACAGGAACAAATCTTATCCTGGATAGAGAATCGCGGGAATCTTTCCAATGCGGTTTTATTTCCCATAGATTCCATTGAGGCAAAACCAATATTGGATGTTGATAGCTGCTAACTCTGTGAATGTTTTGTTAGAAATTTGCAATATAGTTTGAGTGAAATGAGGTGCAATACTTCAGATGGAATGGAGATTGCGTTGTTGTGTAACAATAAGCTACTGAGGAGGGCAGGTTTATGCGGTTACGAACTATGAGAACTAAATCTGATTTGTAATTTATTTTAAATTACTTGTCTTTGTTTTATTTCATACACTCCTTCGAGCCCAATTACAAAAGTACGTTGAAAGGAAAATTGTGTGACAAATTGTTTTGGGCTTTAGTACTGTCATCCTCTGTAACAAACGTATTTGTATTTATGTTGTATCCGGGAAATACGATCGGTTTTGGAACATTGTCTACATTCATAGCCAAATAATGAATTTAAACTTGTTTTAAGTTATCAGTTGTTGACATATACGGAAGGCCAATAAAACGAATAAATCGAATGGCAGATCACCTTGCCTTAAAACCAGTTTATTTTAAAGTAGTCTTTTATAATTGTAGAGGAAATATGCAATGCGTTCACAAAGAAAGATGATTGTTTTTACTTGGTAGAACAAAACATTCGGGAGACAATATAGGGAGATTTAGTAAGTTATGAAAATATGAAAGTGATGACACGATTAGTGGAACGTTGTGACAAGCAGAAAGGACTCGAGGTGTAAAGATCGCTTCAATCGTATCAAAAAGATAACAGGAGTAAGAACGATACATCACACGCAGAATCACATTTCTCAGAACGTCGTCATGTGCTTTGCTATTCTTTTAGGCTTATTTGTATATTGAAATTGATATTTAACAGAGCCAAGGTTAAATTTGTTTAAACGTTAGGTTGCGTGGGAACTATGCATTATGAGAAATTTATTTTTTGTATATTCGTTAACAATTTTCTTAATGATAAAGTAAAGGTCAGTGCATTGTATAGCGGGGGAGTGAGGTCTGAGACAAGGTAACTGTATCATTGTTACGTCTCTAGTCATCGTCTGGTAACTGGTGATTATTTCTTGAACTTTATGAGTTTCTAAAAAAGTTACGTATG